AAAAAAAAGTTTTTATTGCGCATGCGCAAACCAAATTCTCAAAATTGTTTGAAATGTATTGAAAGGTGTGTATTCATATACCACCAGTTTGTAAAAAAAAAATCGATTTATTCCAAACRAATCCGGCCGAGAAATTCAGTGTTCCCTAAATCGGTGAACACACTGTACCTACCTATATACATATTTGCTTACATACCCACTTACATATATCCAAAAACGTAAAAGGTTTTGAAAAATTTGTCTTGGATAAATTAATTGGAGGCCGGTATCTTTAATTACAATCCATTAACGATGTTTTTATCAATTAATCTTCTTCAAGATTTATCAAACTTATTTGGATACCTGTATCATTTAATKTTTATTCAAAGAAAATGTTTTGGGGCTCATGCAACTTACTACGCTAATATAGCGTATTATTATTACTTATTACTTATTATTCAAYAGGTACTGAAATGTGCAATAATGTATTCATTTATTATAATAGTAATATTTAAATTGCTAAACTTTCATTAAAAAAGGTATTTTACACTCAAAATGCTTACGAGTATTATTTTTATTCATTTATATAAAAATTAAATTAAAAATATTTTGATGATAGATGAAATACTAATATAATTATATAATATGAATATTAAATTTAGACTAAAACATTTTTTTGGATGCAATATTCCACAAAATAAATATTTAAATAGTTTAAAAAATAATAATAACGATCAGTTAAGTAGATATTTACAAACATAAATTTTATCAAAATTCCTCCTACTCAAACTAAAAAAATAGCAGGGAAAGTGGATGTCGCTCTGCTTACAAGTATAGGTTACTTTAATAGATGGAATTAAATTTGATATTAAAATATTATAGATATAAAATTTTAAATATAAAATAATTTACTTTCCAGTGCACATTTTTTTTGTTAAAGATTGACAATCTTATAAGAAATCATGAATCAAATTTTCAAATCTTAGATTTAAAAATAAAAAAATTATGAATTTCTATCTAAGATAATTTGAACATTGTCGYAATTTTTACGTATTTTWATAATATTAAATTATTTTCGAAATATATATAGATTACTTGTTAATCCAGTAATATGATCCAAGTTGTGTTCATATAKCCACATCCCACATAAATTCCTAGAAAGTAAGTTCGAAGTTGTCTTAACTAGACTACGGATCGGGCACACACAAATCACTCATAAACATCCGATGAGTAAAAATGACTCTCCAATAAGTCTAACATGAGGCAACGATCTAACAATTAAACACATAATGGATTAATAACCGAATGTCAATTATACTCCGAACTAAGATTGGTCTCAAATCTTCCAGAACACCTGTCAGAATCACTCGACCTCAACAGTTCATCGCTTTCAGCCATTTTCAAGTTTATCTCAGAAGCAAAACTGCAAAATAAAATATAAAAATTGCATGAATAATAAATTTGTTGATGTAAATAATATAAAAAATAGCAATYCAATGGCGTATGTCACCAAAGGTAAATTGGTGTTGCTAAAATAATAATAATAATAATATGATTCAGTATGAATTTAATATTTCGATTTGTTTAATTTATAATTKTATGAGTCTTTTTAACTTTTTATTGAACAAATAAAAATTTTAAAACTGTTTTTTTTTTCAAAATTAACTTACTACCTTTTACATTTTATGAAGTCATAATTAAAGTCAACAATTCAAGTAAACATTTTTCCGACTTTATTCAATAAAATTGCAATATAGAGAGTTCATAATCGTAAATAAAATCATATAGGTACTGCATTTATTGTAATACTGGTTTAATGGTTTTTTTATTAAATCCACAAACAACTAACAACTGTATAATAATATCATAATGATTTTGAAAGCCTCAATGGATATTAAAACTTTTATGACTATTTTATATTGTATCTATTAGATAATTTATGAATATGAATTTTATAAAATAGTTTATTAAAAGAAAAATGTATTCATTAACATTGGAAATTGACTATTACAAGAAAATAAACAACTAATATAAATTATATATAAATTATCTTTGAATGTGTTATATATATTTATTTAAAAAGCTTCGAAACACATATCTTATTGTATTGCTACAGTTTGTCTTATACACAATAATTAGTTTAAAGTGAGAGGGAATTGCTCGATAGATAAATGTACGTTTAGTCAGAACACTTAGAACTAATGTGAAACAATAGGAAATAGTAATAATGTTCCAAACGCTTGTACCGGGTAAGTTAGCGAAATAGAGTTAAATTCTTCAATATACGGAAAGGTTAACGGTAATCGATTAGGTYGAAGGTTGGATAAACATTCACTTAACTATTTAATAGTATCGTAAATTTTAATGACAACATTAACACGAATTAGCACACTTATAGACAACTTAATTGCTATTTGTTAGGCAAGACGATCAAGTTGTAAATGCAATGTAATTTAACACAATTCCGATCGAAAAAACTCTAATAAATACATTTTAAAATATTGAATACTAGTAATGRTGATATGATAGTATTATATAACTATATATGTTATATTATATAACAAATATATTAAATGTTAGCTTAACTTTGTGATWAATTGTAAAACATAATATTATGAGTTCAATATTGACCATAAAAAATCTTAAAGATACGTCATTTACATATGACAAATTTCCCACTAATTTATCTATTTTGTGATATGAGAATACATTGTTTTATAAATATATAAATTAGTACTGTCTAACTATTATTAGTTCATTGAATTTTTAAGTTTAAAATATATGCCTTAATATATTATGCAATTTAAAGTTCTAACAATATATTATTGGGCTGTGAATTGACAATCTACGGATACTTGTAGGTAAATATATAACGTGTTCGCATATTATTATAGTATTTTTAAATAGTTTGCATATATTTGACGTATTATCTATACGAGCATCAGAAGTAATAATTCTAATATTTATCTTACCACACAATATTGATTATGTCAAATGAAAATGTCCAATGCTGTATGCTTAAAAACCGTAAAAAAAAACATGCAGGTGTCGTATCCACTATTAAGTCTGCAGTTATTTTTTCTAAGTTTATGTTTACCATATGTTCATTTATGCAGTTCTCTAAAAATCTTTTATATTTTCCAAATTAAATAATTAATTATAAATTCCTATTTGTATAACACRTATTATWMAATTKTCATTGAAAATAGATCTACAAGAAATACAATAATAATTTGACATACTAATCAGACATAATAATTTGTTCAACWCGAAAAAGCAATCAAATTATAAATGACTAACTTAACCTTTGTAAATAGTTRTTGAWCATTCGAATAATTGCAYAAAATGTTTTAGGATTTGGAAATTTACAATAAAATAAAAAAATAAAAATATTAATCATATCYATTTAGAACTAGCCAAATAGTTCTATACATTGTATATGCTTATTTGACTTTTAAATAGGTTTTATAGAATTTTTTAGGAAATATTAAATTTGTGTTTGCCTTATATTATCTAYCACAATTATAATATTATGCAATAAAGTTATTGAAAACATTTCTTTTTTAGAATATATGAATATACATAGCCAAATKTTATTTACGTTAAATATTAGGTATGTACAATATATGCAATATAAATCTCATTTAACAATCATAAGAATATTTTTTTCATATAACTCGTTCTTTCAAAACTTCTTTTAATAGGTATACTGCGGTATCTAAGAATATAAAAATGATTATRTATCCTAATTTAAATTAAAAGGTACAGTAATATTTATTTAAATAAAAATAAATAAGTACATAAAGTTATATCATTATAAATACTGCTATGATATTATTTGAATAATAATTCCTTTATATAATTTATATTGAATGTATATTATACAGATATTATTATAATAAGAGCTCCAATACTTTTCTAATTATAAATTAATTTTAATAAATTCAGTATTATTATATAAGGTTAGCGTACGTTTTAGATATTAATTTCCATAAATAATATGTACATTTAGCAATTTTTAACACATATAATATTTACTTTCGTATTATATAAACAATGATTTTAATTAATTTTCTTTTCATTAAAAAAAAAAAAAAAGGTATAGATTCAGATAATATTTTATGTAATAAGCTAGTGTTTTGTTTGGTTTAGTTATATTAAATAATAAATTTCAATTAAAATTAAAATGTTTAAAATATGCTGTTTCAACATTTAAATGATATAAGTACAATTATCAACAAAATGTATTTTATTATWATAATGATTGTAGAATCATGATAAATATAACATTTTTAATGTACCTAGTAAATAACTCTGAGAATATGATAAAGAATTTTAGAATATAAAATTCTTGTAATTTTTACTTAAAATTGTCAAATAAAAATAATCAAATGCATCATAAATATAATTACAGATAATATTATATCGAAATATTATTCTTGTAATTTCTAAACTGACTTATAATAGCATGTAATATGCTGAGATATTTTAATCTTAATAAATAATAAAAAATATATATATTGTTCATAAAATGGATTAATCATTACCTATACCTATAAATTATAATTTTTCATATTTTCATCGAAAAATATATTCAAATAATAAAACTTACCTTATATGTACTTAGCGTCAATACAAATATGTAATCAATTGAGGGTCACAATGCTTTGGAACATTGTATTTATTATTTTCACAATGACGAAAAAATAATAAAATTAATTAGGCTTTTAATTTCTTTAAAGTAGTCTTGTCAAAATAACAAATTTTAAAGCGATTCTTAACAAAATATTTCGATTAATTTTTATTTCATTATTAAATACTGATCGTTGTTTATTGAATCAACTGTTTTGTTATTTGAACAGAAATCACAATTTCGGGTTCTAGCATAATATGAGGGAAATCGTAATATTGGAAAAATGTAATTTTGACTCTATGTTATAGCATTTCGGAGTTCGGATGTTCTAAACCCGTGGGGATTAAGCAGTAAAAAYAATTTTGAACTTAGATTTCCAATATCGTGAAATCCAAGCAACAAAAGATAACTTTAAAAATATAAAATCGGGGTGAGTATCATTCTCTATGAAATTACGATATTGAAATTTAAAATGCTTAGCACGTTGCTCGTTACAATGGTATTTAAAACTGTRATATTGAATTGAGTCCGTGCTACTTTTATGTGTTTGAACTTTGAATGGAGTCCAGCTTATTATCTTTGAACTGAGTCCGTATAGATAAAATGTTATAACTACCTACCGGTGGCGACCTTGAACTTTGCACATCATATTATAGCGTAGTATCGGATATGCAACGATAACGGATATTCACAATCAGTCGTGTCGAATAATTCGTGTACACACAATATTTACTTTTAAATAACCTTACTTTAAATTATTACCAGTGAAAAATGGAGTTGAAAAATTGAAATTGATGAATATTATGACAAATAAAGACGAAAACTTTATATTTTTGAATGATTTCGAAAATTCGATAGTAGGTTTTTCAACAAAATTAAATTTAGATGTTTTGTGTGATGTAAAGGATATATATATATATATATATTATATTTACGGGACGTTTAAGAGCTGTCCTAAATTTTTTACTCAAATTTTTACGATTCACGGTTTCTATAAAGAATCATATGCCATTATTATTTAAAAAAAAATTGTTTATGGTACATACCTAACAATTATTATTTAAAAAAAAAATTAGTTTAAGCAAACACACATTTTTTGAGGGACTCAACTCGAATAACCTAACAATATCGGTCTGATTCAACTCCGATAATCCAAAAATATTTGCGGGATTCAATTCAATATTTGGGACTCAATTCAACGTCAGTCGTACCTATAGTCGATTTTTATGTAATTTGTCCACCATTATTATATTTGAGCACAAATTTAGAAATTATAGTGTTCAGTAAAAATTTACAAGTATTTAATTATCGTGAATTGCTTCATATTTAGTGATACAATTAAATTATACGTATATAAAAAAATAATTGTAATATATAATCCAAAAAAGAAATGATGCTACATTCACGTGATTGTTCACGTATTTGTGAACGTGGAAGTATTTTATTGTATTTTCTTTTTAGATTTACCTACGTGTTTCATCGTTGATATTGTTGTTTTATATTTTTTCAACTGCTATTTACAAGAGCATCGTGCGCTGTTTAGTGTTTTACTCTTGTGTGTATGTGTGTGTGGAGAAACAATGCAGGGTCATTAAGCTCGGCACGTTAAATGTTATTCTAACAACGCATGTATCGGATGAAAACAGGTAAATGGCTATACGGTATACGGTGAGTCTGTCGTCAGGGAAGGGAAACGATGGCGAACGAAAACCCATATTTTGAATGGCCACTCGTTAGCGTTTGGAGCGCAATTAAAAAGCGTCCG